CATTCCTGTTTCCAATGACCCTGTTGTCCACAATAATTACAACGGTCTCCTATTCCTCGAGGCCCATCGTTCCTAAAATTTCTCCCTCTGCTTCTGCCTTGGAAACCTCTGTATCCCTGCCCTCTTAGCCTTGGATTGCTATTCAATGCTGCTGCTAATAGACTAGCTTTTTGTTCCTGTTCTTTCTTTTTTTGCTTTAGCTGTCTTTCATCTCTTCCATTAAATACAAATGTAGCGATGCTGACTATTTCATTCAATCCTTTGCCCTGCCATCCTGGCACATGTTTAGAAAAATATTTCCTAATATCTGGGGCTGACTGATCTACAAAGAAAGATACCATTAGAGTCCGATTTTCCTCATTTTCAGGCTTAACCCCTCCAAACATTCTCACTTGTTTAACCAATCAGGCATAATATTCATAGGGGTGTTCAGTATTATCTTGCTGGCATTCTTGGACCTTAGCCCAATTTATAGTCTTTCTTCCTGACAGTTCTAAGGATTCTAACAGTCCCCCTCTCACTCTTTGCAGCATATCTCTATCGGCTGGTAAATTGGGGTCCCATCCTGGGTCATTAGCTGGCCATGGGGTTCTGCCTGGTGCTTCCCTAGCCCATCTACGATTTGTTTCCCAAATTTTAATTTTCTCATCCGGAGTAAAGACTGCCTCAAATAGTTGCTGCACGTCAGCCCATGTAGGGTCATAAATGCAGAAAATGCTGCATATAGTTTGTACCACCTTCTCCGGATCATCCTGCAATCTGGGCATCTGTTGTTGCCACAAGACCAAATCAGCAGGTGCAAATGGCACATGGATTGTTCCTGCAGCAAGCTGACCAGGTTCCAATCCCAGCCCTATAATTTTTTGTCGGAGAGGTGCTTGAAAGCTGGGAGCATTAGCAATAGCTGGTGCAGAAGCCAAAGCCGAGGCAGGAGAAAGGGTAGTAGGGTAAGTGGGTGGAGCTGCTAGCTGAGGATAAATTCCAGAATGCAGAGTTCTTTTTTTTTCCCCATTCGTTCAGAGATTTTTATTTATCTTCCGCTCCAGAGGGCAAAATTTTCTTTGATACCTGTAATTATCCCAGACATACCAATAATCCATTTGTGATGGGAACTGCTCTTCTAATTGCTGGCGTAAATACCTCAGCTTAATATTATCAAAAGAATCAGACTGTGGCCACGTTTGGTCCACGTCACCAAAGGTAATAATTTCTGGCCAATTTTCCTGACATAGTTCTATAGCTCGGGCTTTTGACAACCCAGCTGTCCCATCAATAGATTTCCACTGTTGCAACAATTCATCTACCAATAACGTCTTCACTATACTTTGTCCTCCTCCCATTATTACAAAACATCACCTCCTTACCACCAAACAAGATCCACGTTCCACTACCCCCGTGCCCGAGTATCTCGAGGTGAACTCACCCACAGGCCAGCAGTGCAGATCGTCGGGGTCCGGGTGGTAGTGAGATGTTGAATCAGGTGAGTCGGCTAAATCCCACCTGGGTTGCCAAACTGTCACGAAAATTTCACAACTGTCCCGTGCCAACCAAGGAGAGAGATAATGGGAGGGTTTCACAGAGGTGTTTGGAGGGGCTAGGATGCTGGCATTATCTCAGTAGTAGTCCAGGGGTATCCTTTATCCTTTGTGGATGGCTTTAAGATTCCAAGAAACAAAAGGTCCTTATCTTCAAGGTGGGGGCTGTCCTTCTCCTTGCAGTGAGCTGGGGCCCTTTAGTTATGCTGACTTAACCATGTTTATGCAATATACAATGTAAAACATATATCTCTTAAAAAGCTAATACAATTTCATACTATAAAGACTAATTGGTACAATCGTTAAGGAATGCGATTTTCCTAACAAAGCTCTTCCTGTTGCTCTTGACATTCCTTGCAAGTCTCAACTTCAACTGAGCTTTAACTTTCCTGATACCATCCCTATATGCCTGGGCAATGTTTCTCAATTCCTCCTCCATAGCCTGTCTCTGCTTTCATCCTCTGCATGCTGCCTTTATGTGTTGGAGTTCCATTATTAGTGCCCTATACTTCTGCAGAGCATGCTGTCCTTCAGCACAGTATAATTCCTTTTACCTGAAAATTTTATCTATCTCTGATTGATAGAAACTTTTGGGTCTCAGGAGACATCCCTCTGACAAAGAAAGAGATCAGCTCTAGAAGGCATGTCAGGCAAAAAGAGCTTTTTCTAACAATTTCAGCGGTGTACTTCCCATAAAGCCATACCTTCCAATTCTAGCTGTTTTCTTCAGATTAAATGGTTTAAAGAGGCCCATAAATATATGCACCGATATACTGTAGCCTCAGAAAATCAATAGAATATGGTAGAAACTGCATTTAAGCAAAGTTGAATTATCTAGACCATTTATTTAAAGCAGCTTTGAATTTTACAGATGATCTATTCCTAAAATACATGTATTCATGTAAGCATGGTATGTTTATTTTCTATTTCCTAGAAATACTACCTTACAAATATTTTAATTCCCTTTAATTTACTATGATGAAGTAATCATTCTCCTATACCTACTAACAGTGTTTTGAAACTATAAGCTACCCTGTGCTGCTCCCACAGTGAGCAAGAAGTCTGAAATAACAAGCTTTATTCTTTCCTTTGATTTCTTTTTCCTCTTCCCATGCTCTCTAGGCTTTCACGCCCTTCTAACTCCCTCTCTCCACAGTGATGTAACCTTTCTCTCTCTCTTACCTATCTAGGTCAGTGTTGCATCCTCTGAACACATAGTTTTATCAACATCCAATAGACACAAAGTCTGATCTAAAGTTTGGACATGCAAAAATATATAAATATTTAATCTTGAGGTTCAGTGACCCACAAATTTGCAAACTGAATGCAAGTCAAGGTTTGGATTTCAAGCTCACCCTACGTTTATCAGTGGTCACAACCAATAAAGTCTGTGAGAAAGACAGCAAACCTTCAGGCAGACCATAGAACAAAGAGACTTTATCCCATATACAACCTTCTGTCTCAATTGTCTGGAAAACATATGTTTCAATCTGATATCTTTGTATAATGTAGAGATTCCTTTACTTTTAGTAAATATAGTTTATAAACAATCAAAATTTAAGAATTTTAAATCAATAAAACTCACAAGAAATAGAATTTCTTTATACTATCACAGAAAAAAATCCACCATCAAGCCCAGAATTATCCCTTTTCTTTTAAAACTGACTTATCACTGCAGACAAATCATTAAGTCAGATAACCTATTTAAAAAATAAAAAAGGAAGTCGCCAACTAGTGCCTTAATAGTTGTTTAGGTATAAAAGTGTAAGTAGACAATAGCCAATGAATCCAGAAGATAGCTAAAAAGGGAGTGTGAGGTTAAAAAAACGAATGGCTGCTTGTGATGGATGCACCCGCTCTGACTGAGTGAACAGTACTTTGGTTCAGGCATCACCGACAAGTAGGCCTGACTGAAATCATCCTTGATGTGCAAACCTTGAGAATTGTGCTAGGCCATATCTTCTCAGGAACTAAGGAATCTAGGCCATGTCTTATCAGGAGCTAACAGTACCAGACTGAGCTGGAACTAGACAAAACTAAAACTGCTACAGCTGCACTCCTGCACATACACCAAAGGGGGGGGTTGACTACAAGTCAATCACTTTATGCTATAAATATCTGTAGCCCCCCCGAGCCCATTGAACTCTCCTGTACGGCAGCAGGCTGCACGGCAGTGATCTCCCCCTTAAGCAGGGATGCCTCTTAAGGTTACTCCTCAAGGTCGAGAGACCCCTTACATGGCATCTGATATCTATAACGAGGTAAACAACATTTTACATTAGGCCTAAAAGTATATTGTATGCTAGCAACATTTATATATCCAGCTATAGCTTAATTATTATAAGTGTAGTAAGTAGTAATGTTTGACTGCTGTCTAAATCATCATCTAACCACTGTCTAAATTATCGTTTAAATAATCATTTAAATCATTGTCAAATCACTGTTTAATTACCATTCAATTATTGCTTAATCACAATTTGATTACCATTTAATTTTCATTTAATCATCGATTAACGATCATTTGATCATGGTTTAATCATTAATAAAACCCTCTTAGTTAACCCCACAACGATGACTTCTCTTAATAATTCATCTGTGACACTGCTGCACGTGCAAGTTTAAACGGAACCGTTAATTAGGGACGGAGGCATCTGTTATTAGGGCAAGTGGATGGGGGAAGGCTTTGTTTCCCCTATCTCCTTGTGAGTAGCCCCGTCCTATTCCTGTGGGCGGGGTGAAGCCGCGTGAGACAGTTATCACTGCTCTGGACACGGCTCCTTCCGCTTCCCCGCCCCCCTGGAGGGCAGATGACGTTCTCTGACTACGCGCGGAGTCTCTGTCCATTCCTGTATAGTTCCCAGTCTCGGGGAGGGGGAGGTTGGTGATTCTGTAGGCGATGACGGCGTTACCGTGAGCCACCTCGTGTGTGCCTCGTTCTCTCTTTCCTCTCCCTAGCCGCCTCCGCGTAGGAGCGCGCGGGCGTGCAGGCCTCAGCAGCAGCCAGGAGGAGGCGGAGCTGACGCGAGCCGACCGGCGGGTTCGGGTCCCTCCTTCCTCCACCTTTCTTCCTCAATTCTTTCTCTTTCTTGCGCTTTCCTTTCGTCCTTCTCCTGTGCGTCGCGCGTCTCGTTCCGTTCTGCTGCCGCAGAAGGCGGTGGCGCCGCCAGCTTCGTGCCCCACACCCTCTTGCCCTTCGCTCCCCCAGAAACAGTCCGGAGCCACCTGCAGCGCCTCCGACGTCGTCCGTGGGATTTCTCGCTCCGCCCCCCTTCCACTCCCAGGAGCAGGCACGTGGGCGCTGAGGGGCGGCTGGGGGGGGATGCGGGCGGTGGTTTCGAGAG